GAGAGAGAGAGAGAGAGAGAGAGAGAGAGAGAGAGAGAGAGAGAGAGAGAGAGAGAGAGAGAGAGAGAGAGCCGACACCCATGTGTTCTATTTGAATAGAACAATAGAACACCCGTCTGTTCGAATAGAACATATGTGCGTACTATTCACATAGAACATACGTGCGTTCAACGTGTGTACTATTTGGATTTCGGGGGCCGACTTTGAGAAATTGACTTTTCCAGGGAAAGTTGAATAGTACATACGTGCGATTTGTTCGGGGGAAGACTGTAGCCCCATTTTCCTTTCCATGTGCTGGCTCGGAATCTACCGATGGCCGCCGTGAGAGCCCGCTCTGGGAAGTTGCGCCAGATCTCGCCTGGTTGCTGAATTCTACTCGAGAGTCCTGGTGTACGATCAAGGGAAAATGCGCCAGTGATCAACGAGCCTACCGGTCGCTCAGTTGGTACACCCGTGGACTGTTGAAACACAGACTCAAGTTCGAATCCGGGTACAATCAGTTGCCCAGAATAGCTGAATTACCTGTGGTCGGTCAGCTTCAGTGATGATGCTATAAAACGGCCGTCGTACCACCATCGCACAGTCAAGATGGTGCTGGGAGGAGCGGTGGTGGACAGCATTTCGCTGTATCTTTCCCGTGTGCACACTCCCGCCCAGCACCAAGCAGCAGCACGAAGAGCTTTTCTCTCGCGCGGCCAGCGCACGCCCAGCACTCCTTTCTCTGGTTTCGCTGGCGCTTCGTCGGGATCTGCGAGCGATCGAGCGATTTCTCGATCTCGATCCGCTGGCACCGGTCCAAGTAATGAAAGAAAAGAAAATAAAATGAATCGGAAAACAGCCGGACAATGGCATACAGTAGGCACAATAGAGACCATGGGACCCCGCCCTGTTGGATGGGGCCACCGGGACCGTAGCCAGGGAGGGACAAAGTCTCAACTCGCAAGGGTATCCTTCGCTTGGGCTTCGAGCTCGGGCATAGGTCTGGACCGTTCACGTGAAGACGGGACTACATTAGTCGATGTTGCCCGTCGATCATGTGGATCTTCGGCGTGTAGATTCCTGGCTGGAGCTCGCTGGGATCGGAACCCTGAGGGCATGCATGCATACTCACACTACCGTAAGACTTCATGCCGGGGATGTAATTGCGGTTAGGTTCGTGCAGGTATGGCCGTAATTGCTGTTAGACGCTAGACACATTTATTAGGAAAGTGCTACCGGTAGTGGGAGTTTGCCCTGAGTCGGCGATTGTGCTTAGGTCCGTCCGGGGGCAAGGTCCCACTTGCGCAAATTAGGAGATTTGGGCCGTTGATCTTTGCTATTTCTACGGTCAGGATTTCTTAATTCGTGCAAGTGGGACCTAGCCCCGGACCGTGCAGCCGAAAATGGTCCTCACACACATGGGAATGGTACTCAAGCCATCGATCGCTCGCATCTACGGTGACGCGTGGTGGGTACGTGGGAGGAGGAACGCACCTCGCCCGACGGCGAGCCAGAGTGCGTCCAGGCCAGGACGTCTCTCATCAGGACCGCCTGGCAAGCCAGCCATCCGATCCGACCACACTGTCGTTTGATTTCGGATTCGTCGGTGGCGTTGGGGGGAGCCAGCGGAACCCGCCGTTTGTTTCCGCCCGAGCGCTCGGGGGTTGGTTACTCTTCTCGCTTCTCTCTGTCTCTGTCTACTCTTTTTTCGTGCGAGGTTTCTTCTCCTTTCGTCTTTCACCTCCTCCTCCTCCTCCTCCTCCTCCTCCTCTTCTTCTTCTTCTTCTTTCTCATTTTCTTCTTGCTCTTATTTGTATATTGAAGGAGAATGGCTTTCACTTGTGCAGCTCGTGTAAGTCATTCTGCGGCGCTGCTGTGCGGTGGCGGCGGTGCTTGTCTGGGAGACGGCGACTCTGGCGGGGATGGCGGCGCACCGTCATGTAGCTACATCTCCTCCAGAGAAGGAGAAAGAGCAGGTGCGACGGTCGCCAGCTTGAATTGTGGTCACCATCATCGTCATCGTCATCCTCATTTTGCGTATCGCCTTTCCTGTTCGTCTTATCCCCCATCCAAGGCCGCTGCCGCTCTTAATGACGTCGTCGTCTGCTCAAGGAGAGCAGCGGCGGCGGCGCCGGCGCCGCCGCCTCCACTTTCGGCATGGCGCCCTCGAGCGCAGTCGTCGCACATTCGACGCCGCGCAGTCTCCGCGCCAACATGCGTCCGACGTATCGCCTCGACAGACTTCTCCTCGTCGCCGTCGTCGGCATCATCGGTACATTCTATGTCCCATTTCCTGGTCACGAGAGCAGATGCTGCTGGGCCCTCTCCCACTAATCCCCGTCAGCCTCGGTCATCGCCCTTGTCGTCCTCAGCTACGTCTCGTTCCGACGCTGTATCCAGCGAACTGACAGGGTCTTGGGATGAAGCGGCGGCACCGCGCAGTGCCGCCTCCTCCTCCACGTGTTCTCCTCTCCCCACGGCGAACGGAGATTCAGATCTTGAGATGGACTGGGTAAGCAGCGGGAAGACCTTGGTGGCTCCAACTCCCGCCGACTTCAAGTCCCGCTACGCCGACGATGAGCCGCGGAAGGGCTGCGACATCCTCGTGGAGGCACTGGAAAGAGAGGGCGTGTGCCACGTGTTTGCTTATCCCGGCGGCGCCTCGATGGAGATCCATCAAGCGCTGACTCGATCTAATTACATCCGAAACATTCTGTGCCGGCACGAGCAAGGCGAGGTGTTCGCCGCCGAAGGCTATGCCAAATCGACAGGGAGGGTGGGTGTGTGCATTGCGACATCGGGTCCAGGTGCAACGAATCTGGTGACCGGCCTGGCCGACGCCATGCTGGACAGCGTCCCCCTTGTCGCCATTACAGGCCAAGTGCCGAGGAGGATGATCGGCACGGACGCTTTTCAAGAGACTCCTATTGTAGAGGTGACACGGTCCATCACCAAGCACAACTATCTAGTTCTCGATATCGACGACATCCCGCGCATCATGAGGGAGGCGTTCTTTTTGGCTGCGTCGGGGCGCCCGGGTCCCGTGCTCGTGGACATTCCCAAGGACGTGCAGCAGGCGATGGCCGTTCCATCTTGGGCGGACCCAATGCGGTTGACGTCCTACCTGCAGAGATTGCCAGGTGTTCCGTCTGTTGCGCATATGGAGCAGGTGGTGCGGCTGCTGCACAGCGCAAAGAAACCGGTGTTGTACGTGGGCGGGGGCTGTATGCAGGCGTCGGAAGAGCTGCGCGAGTTCGTGGCAATGACGGGCATTCCCGTTGCCCAGACCTTGATGGGTCTCGGCGTTTTCCCGGAAAGCAGCGAGCTGGCGCTGCATATGCTTGGGATGCACGGCACCGTGTATGCTAATTACGCCATCGATCAAGCGGATTTGCTGCTGGCATTCGGGGTCCGATTTGATGACCGGGTGACTGGCAAGCTCGAGACCTTTGCCAGCAGGGCGTCCATCGTCCACGTGGACATCGATCCCGCGGAGCTGGGAAAGAACAAGAATCCTCACGTCTCCGTATTTGCTGATGTCAAACTGGCATTGACGGTTCTCAACGGCATCTTGAGATCCAGCATGCCGAATCTCGATTACTCTGCTTGGATTCGCGAACTGGATGACAAGAAGAAGGAATTCCCCATGACATATCCGAAGTCCGGGGACGATATATATCCTCAGCACGCGATCAGTGTGCTGCACGAAGTGACAGGAGGGGAGGCGGTGGTCTCTACTGGGGTCGGTCAGCATCAAATGTGGGCGGCGCAGTTTTATAAATTCGACAAGCCCAGAAGGTGGCTCACATCTGGCGGTGAGTTAGTAGTCCACGTCAGCTGCAGCTCCACGCCGAAGTTTGCTTGCTCCCAACGGGCACTCTTGTTTCTTTGTTTTTTTTTCTGCTCCTTGCTAAGCTAAGCTATATTCTTTTCTCAAAATCGCCTTTCACTTTCATTCCTACCGTACGGTTCGGAGGAGAGAAAAAACAAAGCATTTCGAATTTTGTGACATCCAGCGTCATCAAAGTGACCTCACATTATTCATGCAGTGCTCTACTTGTTAGCTAAGCTATACAGTGGACCGTCCCCCTGTAAAGCATAGCATAACATAGCTTTCTCAAAATCGCCTTTCACTTTCAATGAATGGATTGGATTGGGCGTTGCCTCGTGCGCTAACTTCCTTGTGATTTTTTCTTTGGTGTCCTCGTCTACTTTCTTCCGGTGTTGCTTGTTTTCTTAGGGGATAGTCGCACACAACCATCTTCACCCCCGAATAGAGCGCCCGGTCATTGAAGTCGTATTTGGGGCAACTTTTCGTCCAGATGCAGCGATAATGACCGGGCATTCTATTCTTCGTAGACACGCAAAATCGCAGAATCTCAACGTTGTCAGCCAGATCGAGTCCTTATAAAAGGAAAGGAATCGATCTGGACGCTCGTCTGCGATTTGAGGGCCTAGTGTGAATATTCCCTTACCGGCGTTTCCTTTCTTGTAGACGCTTTGTATTATATGGTATTAATTAATAATTAGTAATAATTTTCCTCCGTTTTTTTAATAATTAGTAATAATTTTCCGTTCACTCTTTTTTTTATAATAGTACTCTTCCTCCGTTTTCCTTCTTTCTGATCTTCTATGTAGCCTGCACCTGTTTTCTAAGGTCCTTTTTTCCTTCGCTTGTCCGCCGATCCTCTGTTCTTTCTTTCACTTTTTCACTGGCATTCATGCATTCATCTTTTTTTTTTCTTTTTTTTCTTTTTCTTTCGTCTCACAAATTCTGATCTCCAGTTCATCCGGTGACTTGCACGGTCGCCTTCGCGAAACCAACGGGAATTTTGACTTCGCGCCGCACCACGCACCAAACGCCAACATTCTGAATGTATCTGGACCGTTGGGAGGGCCGGATACATAATCAATGTTGGCGTTTGGCGACTGGTGCGGCGAGGCCCTTCGATGCGCGCCGAGTCTGACTGATTAATTGCATTCGATTATTTGTGCCATTTTTGGTATCTCTTCCCTCTCCACCCGCCTCCCCCCCCCCTCCCCAAGCTTTCCTCCTCGCCCCCTTCTTTCCTACCCTTTTCTCAGACTTCGGTCGGCCGATTCAGTCTCACGGTCGAGACGCCGTACGGCTGATTCGATCATCATTACCGTCTTCGCCCGAATAGAACGCCAGGTCATTATGGCTGTATTCAGGGCAACTTTTTGTCCTGATACAGCTGTAATGACCTGGCGTTCTATTCGGTCGAAGACATTAGCCTTGGGTCATTTATTCCTCACGGGCTGTTGAGGGCGCATTCTCCTCTTGATGTCAATGACGCGGCATTCTGATGAGCCGGCGCTCCTCTCTTTCGGCACCTCGTCTGTCCGTTCCTTTCTTAGCTGCATGTTCAGCATTCGCCTCTCAGTAATTGAGAGCATTGCTGGAATAAGAGCGGTCCTATAGTTAGTTGACGTATAACGTTGTAAGAGAGATAGCGTGGAGTGGATCTATATATGCATATGTATATATACGTAAGAGGTGATGAACAGGCGGGCCTTTCCTTCCTTCTTTCCTTTTTTGTTTTGTCTTTTTCCGCCTTTACGCTCCGATACACGGTGTGACGATATATGTGACGAACGTCCTGCTGTTTTCTTGACATGTGGGCAACATGTCCTCTGTCAGGATTGTTTTGATGGGATGGTTCGTGCTAGCCGTCCGGCTGAATGCTGTGCTAGCGCAACTCTCCTTGGGTATCCCTGTGAACATCCCCGTCATCCTCACTGTAGTTGTCCCATCTGCCGAGGGGGTGACAGATAAAGTTTAGGAGAAACAGATAAAAAAAGAAACCAAGTAAAAAGATAAAACAATAAATAAAAAAAAAAGAAACCAAGGAAAAAGACAAAAAAAGAAACCTGAGAAAAAAGAAAAAAGAAAAAAGAGAAATATGTTCGGTGGGATGGTAATTGGATTATCTGTGGGATGTGTCACTTGATTTGTCTGTTTAATAGGCTTTCTTCTTCTGTGAGGTTTGGTTTCCTCCGCCTTTTCTTTACCTCCTCTTTGCCTTTTGGCTGCGTGCAAGTGGGTCTTTGTGACACACGGGAATGGGGGCAGCCAGCGCTCAACCTGTCATCCACGTGGCTGGCCTTGTACGTAAGAGGTTATGAACAGGCGGGGCTTTCCTTGCCTCTTCGTTTCCTTTCTCTTTTCTCTTCCTTTCTTCTTGTTTTCGCTTTTGCGCTCCGGTTCACAGAGTGACAATATATATGCATATACCGGGCAGCTCTGTTTGACTATATATCTATAATATGTATATATTTATAGATATAACAATCGACGAGTGTGGGTTGAGCTGCCTGGTGAACCGTAGGCAGGGAGGGAGAAGAGATCATTAGAGGGGTTGTGATTTCTTTCTGTTTTTTTTTTTTTCGCTTTGCGCTGTGATAACTATGTGACGATATATATTGTCACTTACAGTGTAATCAGTTAGGTAGGGGATTCTGCAGACTGTTTTTTTGAGGGTTCAGCCTCTACTGATTGATGAGTCTGTTGGTGAAACTCCGACGAAACAGTTTGTCACAGCCCTTCGTTTGTTGTCCTCTTCTCCCTCTCTGCCTACGGTTTACCGGGCAGTTCTGTTTGACGATAAGGCTGTGTGCAAGTGGGTCGATATGACACACGGGGGTGGGGGCAGCCGCCGCGCAACCTACATCCACGTGGGCGGCCTTGTACGCAAGAGGTTTTGAACAGGGGGAGTTGTAAGGAAGAAGATAAAAAACGAATTGCTATTTTTCTTGTTTTCCTAGTGTCTTTTTTGCCTTTGCGCTCTGATATTTCTGTGACGATATATATTGTCACACTGTGAATCAGAGCGCGAAGGCGAAAAAAAGCAAAACAAGGAAAGGAAAAGGAGGAAGGAAAGGAAAGCCCCACGTGTTCATCACCTCTTACGTACAAGGCCAGCCACGTGGATGACAGGTTGAGCGTTGGCTGCCCCCATCCCCGTGTGTCACAAAGACCCACTTGCACGCAGCCAAAAGGCAAAGAGGAGGTAAAGAAAAGGCGGAGGAAACCAGACCTCACAGAGGCAAGAAAAAGAGAAAGGGATCCAATTAAAGAAAAGACAAGGGAAGAAAGCGAAATGACACATCCCACAGATAAACCAATTGCCACTGTCATTGCAAGGTTCAACATATTCTTTTATTCTTTTTCTCTTTCTTTTTTCTTGTTTCCTTTTTCTTTTCTTCAGAAATTTGTAGTTTTTTTTTTCTTTCTTTTTTTTCTTTTTGTTTCAATTTTTTTTCCTCTTCTTTCTTCTTTCTTCGACTCCACATCTGTTGGTAGTATCGCCAGCTTTATCTGTCCTGCAATTAGTCTTGCTCCTGATCGGTTGATTCTATTAACCAGTCAGGAAGAGGAGCCCCCCGACCCCGGCAGATAAGACAGGCACGCTGAGGATGACGTGGATGTTCACAAGGATACCCAAGTAATATGCATTTATCTCTACATATGTATGTATATATAGCGCAACCGGAGCTAACGTGGATGCCGACTTACCGTATCCATCAGTTATGGGACTCTCTCTAGACAGCATATAGAGGATTCAGCCTCCTGATGAGTCGGTGAAACTCCGACGAAAGTATACGCCTGATAAGTGTAAAGTCAGTAGTTCAGATGTACCTGGGCCCACTCTTCTCTGCTAGCGACTTGGGCCCACTCTGCTCTGACGACGATGGGCCCTCTCTGCTCTGCTGGCAAGCCACTTTTTTTTTCATTTATTTTATTTTCCTTCGGCCTCTCTCATCTCACGGTGCGCACACCACAAAGTGGATCGATGGCGGTAATAGCTTAATGGTAGAGTATCACGGCCCTCTGTGTTTTGCGCATATCTCCCTTTCTGCCTACGGTTCGCCGGCTAGTTCTCTATGACTATGTATATATACATATGTGTTTGTGTGTATGTATATGGGATATGTTTTATACATAACTTCCAAACACGATACACATGAACATAGGCTACCGTCTGCACCGGAATGCAACGCCCGGTCATTATGGAAGTATCTGGACTTAAAGTTGCCCCGAATACAGCTATACTAGTTCTCTATGACTATGTATATATGTACATATGTGTGTGTGTATATGTGATATGTTTATACATAACTTCCAAACACGATACACATGAACATAGGCTACCGTCTTCACCGGAATGCAACGCCCGGTCATTATGGAAGTAGCTGGACTGAAAGTTGCCCCGAATACAGCTATAATGAACGGGCGTTGTATTCGGGTGAAGACGGTAGTATACCTTGTTTAAGACTTAAAAGTATATTATTTATCGGCATTGTTGTAAATACGATCATCGAGCCATGTTTTCATGGAAAAAAAATGGTGAAGTTTTCAAACGCATCGCGCTGTTCGTCGTACCAGGAGCTGGAGGCTGTAATCCGTCCTGCATTGCAGAAAAGCAATGCGCGCTCCTCGACTGTGGAATTTTGCAGGCGCGGGAAACGATTCTGGGTTTTGCGGATATCATCATCGTCTGTTATGATAAGAAAAGGATAGGAAAGCAATGGCCGACCACTTGCTTGTGAACACGATTTTTCACTTAATCGAATCATCAGTACACATCACTCGTGTTCCATGAACTCAGTTCGCGCACGTCCCACTATGCTGCGCGTTTTGACCGATTGCGGTCCGGTCCTCGTCAGGAGGCAGACCCTTTCCTTACCCGAAATAGAACGTACGGTCATTATAGCTGTATTTCGGCCAATTTTCAGTCTAGGTACTGAGTTATTGACCGTACGTTGCGTCTACCACCTCACATTCCACCTCGGAGTGTAGAAAGCCTTCAGGCCTTGCTCTCTAAGTACAGGACTTGCTCCGACGCACTCCTAGAGAGTCGCGTAGCCTTGAACAACAAGTATCGCTCGAACCGCATGCGTGACCTCCTCCTCCTCCTCCTCCTCCTCCCCGTCCTCCTTCACCATTCGGCAGGCAGGCCCGCAATTTGCATGAACTTCATAAAACTTGTCACAAATTAGAGTGGTTGTGGTATATTTTACCAGATCTAACTTATCTTTTACCAGATCTAATTTATCGTTTACCAGATCTGATTTATCTTTCACCAGATCTGATTTATTTTTCACCAGATCTGTTTTATTTTTCACCAGATCTGTTTTATCTAAGTAGTGTTCAGTCATAGATGTGAACAGGGGAGGGGCGAAAATCAAGGGTACACGTGAATCCCACGACTTGAGTGGCTGTGGTACGCACAGCCGGGATCGAGTTACTTGGCGCCCCATTCTCGCGCTCCTTTAATCTGGATTTTACAGACATCATCGCCATCTATTATGCCAGACCATCTTTTGATAGGATGGTTTCTCCTCACCATCTATTATGCCAGACCATCTTTTGCTAGGATGGTTTCTGGGTAGCCATATGTCTCGAGGACTGTCCTCCCTTTCCTCGTTGTGAATATCGTCATCCAGTTTGCCGCCCACAGATGTTACATGTTCGGCTTGCCGCCCACAGTTTGTTCGGTTTGCGGCTAAGTACCATTCTATGAGTGTATGCTCTGCTGTGGTGAACTTCGTTTTCTTTTTGCCGCCCACCTCGTGACTCCTCGTGGCCGAAGGAAACGGAAAAGGTAAAGAGAGAAGACTCAAGTAATATTGCAGGCATAGCTTTCGGCCAACGATGCTTTTCCCTACGTCTGATAACGGATCAGCTAGTTGTGATGCACCTGCTGCTTGCTGACCACTGATGAAAGTGAGTACCAACGAATCTGCCTACCCATGAACTATCACCGGATGTATCTATTCCTCTCTGTACCTTTCCTCCTCCCCCCCCCTCCCCTTCCTCCCTCCTCTACCCTCCCCCCCCTTCCATCAAAGCTTTAGATACAGCACAACATATTTGCAAGGTGCCGCGTTATAAAAAGATGAGAAAATGCTTTGAAGGAATTGTTAGGAACAATATTCCAGACTGCTTGGTGATAATGAATGCAATTCAGAATTCCATGGCCAGACTTTGAACCTAGTCAATTACATATACCGATTGTGTGTTTGATAGATTCAGATATTCCAAGCAATTACAAAACATCCCCATCTCACCATGAAAAAAAAAAAAAAAAAAACTAGAGATCCATTGTTCCATCGCTGTGAATGATGATTCTTTAGAGTTCATCTTTTGCTTTTCTTTTGTCTGCCACTATTCATTTCTTCTGGATATTGTTTTCACTTAGTACAAGGCGGTGCTGGTCCTTTGGACAAAAATGGAATACTACCTCTTCCCCCTCCGGTGTGACCTCCACCCGCCCCTCGTCTGCCCCCCCCCCCCCCCCCCCCCCCCCCCCCCCCCCCCCCCCCCCCCCCCCCCCCCCCCCCCCCCCCCCCCCCCCGGGGCAATCCTTCCTGCCCCTTTGCCCCGTCTGTCGCCCCACTCCCAATTGCTTTTCTGCCCTTTGCTGCCCCCTAATCGCTTGCGCCGTCTTGAGTGACAGGGCCTCGCAGCGGTACTCACGAAATGTGCAAAATGAGAACGAATGTCCCGCTAGAACATGGAAAGATACACCGCCATATTTTCTGTCTTTTGTGCATGTGGTTAGTAGTAGACCGAGGCCCACAGTGTCAAGCTCCAGTGGCGGCTGCCTGGTAAGTTTCGTCCCTCATAACGTTAGGATTTTTTTTTACTTTTTATTTTGGGCCTGGGGGAGAAGGATCGATTCATCGGTAAAGCTGTTAGACTTGAGCTAAAGGGAGGGAGGGTGACATGATGCACGTTCCTGTTTGTGCCACTCTCCACCCCCCTATGCTGCTGATTGATGATTCTTCCTGACGAACACATCCGAATGTGTGTGTTCAGGTCTTGGAGCAATGGGTTTTGGTCTCCCGGCGGCTTTGGGTGCAGCTGTTGCATGTACAGATGTGCATGTGGTCGATATCGATGGTGATGGAAGCTTTTTGATGAATGTTCAGGTGAGTTCCTTTTCTTCTTTTTTTTTTTGTTGGTTCCTTTTCTCAATCTTTGGAAACAAAACCTTGTATATCTCGTTAAACAGTGTATGTATATCGACATTCCTGCTTTCTTTTCTTTCAGACTGTTATACCGCGTTTGACGCGGGGATGCGGGGACGCAGCCATTCTGGTAGCATGATTTATGTTCTAGACAGTAAGCGTGGCAAAGGTCTTATGAAGTGGGGAATGGGCAGCCTTCTGGATGGCAGTGTCTAAAGCCATCACTCTCCCACACACGACACACAACCCACTCACACACACACTCACACGCCTGTTGGCGGAAGACCTTACTGATACCGACTGGGAGGATCCACCTGACTATGATCTCAGTTGCTTTGCACCAAGAGTGCCACAGGCGGCCATGGGGATTGAACCCACAACCTCCTGAATGCCACTTGCGTGCCTAACCAATTGAGCTAGGACGCTGGATGGAGCCCAGATTCTTCGATCAGCAGGAGGGGGGGAAAAAAAAACCTGAAAAACGAATGGCAAGCCACGGAGGGTGTACCACTCCACCCACATGTGACCAGGAAAGGGCATTTCAAGCTCTAAACTACTAGCAGTGTATCTACCTATGTTCTACCAGAAGATTCATGTGTTCATTTTGCACATTTGGTCAGTTGTGGAGCAAGGCCCTCGATCTCCACAGCTTTCGCGGCAAAGTTAAGTACGTTTTTTCTTCATTTTTTTCCTGAAAGTCGGTACTTTTTTTTTTTTTTTTTTTTTTTTTTCTTAGTAAGCCCTGCCAACGAGGCAGGGCAGTCCCTTCTAGATTTCGTGTAGTAAACAACAGAATGCTGTGATACTGTATTTCTGGCAAGATGCAGTAGAAGAGAACAAAAACAAAAGAGACCCAAATGGACCGCCCAGACCCATATCGCTGGCCCCCAGTTTGCAATGGGAAAAAACTCCTCTTTCAAAAGGGAAACAATGGACGGTGCCCTATACTAAATTGCAACGACCTTGATAGATAACCTGCCCTGCAACCGGTCTTAGGTACGACTGCGACCGGACCCTATTTTCTGCTGTCGGAGACCCCAAACGAACCCATCCTAGCGAAGCTGTACTGCACAGCCTTACCGAAAATAGAAAGAACATGAAACGACGAAAATGGAACCCACACAAGCGCAGCCTCCTGGCTGCAAACTGTCGTTTTGGGTTTTGGAAAGTGCCCAAGCATCAAATCGAGTGCATTTCCATCATGTTGATTAGCTACTAATTCAACAACGTCATGCATGTCAAGGGTTAAAGAATCAGTCAACGGCGTCGATGTTCACTGCGATGGACTTTTGACCGTTTGTATCTGCATGTGCGTGTGGGTGCATACATATACAGGAGAGAGAGAGAGAGAGAGAGAGAGAGAGAGAGAGAGAGAGAGAGAGAGAGAAGCCTTGTGAGCACTTGGCGAGAACTTGCCCCACTGGAGGTGCTGTACTTTGCACGTGCGGATCATGCCTCTTGAAACGACAATTTGTGGAATTTTGAGCAAGCAAGTGCAGGCTCATCAGGGTTGTGTATGCACCGTTGCTCTGGCCCCAATCTATCCACTGGGGGTGTCCCTTTATGTGGAGCCGAGTGCTCAAGCCTGCAAGAAAAAGATGACCTGCCCCACCTGAGCCCAGACGTATAACGCCGTTAGGCCAATGCCAGGCTGGCATACTTGCGCCGCGTACTCAATAATGTTGGCATGTGCGTGAGTAACGAAAACTTGATGTGACAACATATATAAATCCAGTGTTCTAAAAATATCTGGACCTTACAAAGTTGCCGAGCTCAGTTGGTACACCCGTGAACCAGTGAAATACGGGCCCGAGTTCGAATCCGGATGGTATCAGATGAGTAACGTCAACTCTCGGAGTTCATCTGGGGCTGATCAGTTCAAAGATGATATCTCAGGGCTTGAAAAAATAAATTGGACTTTGGCTCCTGACAAAATTCTGTTCGGGCGTTATCTTACTACCTCTTTTCTTGACCGAATGTGCCCGCACATACGGGCACATACGTTCAGAATCTTCAGATAGATGTATGAATCACAAGTCGAGTATGGACCTGCACCACTACACATCAGTCTATGTGTGTCTGGACAACTGTTGAGGCAGATACATGCGGACTGATGCAACATTTTGAATGTATTGGGAGAGCTGCCAGCTCCATATATATATCATTTATGATGTTGTGCAGTGGAGCGAGGCCCTATGTATGCCCTTTAGATGCAGCGGTGCACCCACCTGACGAACTCCTTGGAGATTTTCTTTCTTGTGATTGGAAATCATCGACAAGGTTTTCTATTTGAAAAACGAAGCTGTCCTCGTTGCTTGAATCTTCACCGTCTTTATGGTCAGATTCATTTGAAAAAGACATAGTGTGTCTAATGCCCTATCTATACTGCATCTTTATGTGGTGTAAAGAGCCCTGCCATGCAGTTGCCCGTGTTTTAGCAGGGGAATTAGGCAGGGTCGGTTGCGTTCCTTACTGGCTCTTCCTGTCACTATGGTCTTTTTGTAGGCACGTAATGAAGTGAATTTGGCCATAGTTGGGGTCGGGTACATCCGCAAACTCCCACAACGAGTCTGTGCCCTCAGTGACTCTGCTTCAGATGAAGTGTTCCGTTTTCTTGGACTGTGGCAAAGGATTTCTTTTGAGCACATGCGTCCAAATTAATAGTGGCCCCTAGACGGGTTGGCTCACATTTATAGTGCTTGAATTGGCTGGACGGGTCATGTGCGGAGCGTAGTCTGTCTTTGCTGTGTCTCGAGTGTGAGACCTCTGGTGCTTTGTGTGGAGGATAGGTGTGAGCGCACTTTTGACAATGGATGTTGTTCGGCAAAAGATATTCAGACAGGAAACTGTGGGGGTTGGGTGAAAGAGTAACGACTTTTTTTGGAAGCCTGCAATTCTTGCCAGGGCTGTGTCCGGACCGTGGGGCCCATGATGAGCACTAGGGCCGGGGTCTTAAACCACTAGTACACAGCCCCAGCTTTGTGGGATCCATGATGAGCACTAGGCCCAGGGTCTTAAATGACTTTCGTCTTCACCCGAATAGAATGCTCGGTCATTATGGCTGCATCTGGACTGAAAATCGCCCCAAATACAGCTATTATGAACGGGCGTTCTATTTGGGTGAAGACTGTAGTACATGCCCCCAGCCTTGTGGGGCCCATGATGAGCACTTGGCCTGGCCCCATCCTTGTGGGGGCCATGATGAGCACTACCGGTAGGCCCAGGGTCGTGAGCCACTATTACACGGCCCCCACCCTTGTGGAGAAAGTTCCATCGCCGTCTGACATTTTTGGTGCAGAGGCCGAAATAAAAATTGGGCTGTACCAATTCAGTGTGGACCATTTGCGGGGAGGAGGTTATTTTGTCCTCGGCCTGCATTTTCAGTGCTTGGGGCAGGCTTGGCCTGGTGGAGGCCGAAATGAAATTCCAATGTGGGCCATTTGCAGGGAGGTTATTTTGTCCTCGGCCTGCAGGCCGCTCGTATGGAGGCCCCGTGTTGAATTTTCCGGTTGTAGGGAACAACCGGAAAGTCGTATGGGTCTGTTGCGGTTGAATTTGGCCCCGAACTGGCCCCCTGCTCCCTGACTCTGCGGGCTCATTACAGCTGTCCACGTGGCCTTCCCCTGGGGGCGGTCCCGAAGGATCTTCGTCCAGCTCTAGGTCTGTGTGCTGGCTTCTGCGCATGTGTGCTTGTGCTTGAGGCGTAGTCGGCATTGCCAGGTTCTCTCGCTCTCTCTGTTAATGGTTTCATGGCGTGCATGTGTAGGAGGTGACTATGATGCCAGTGTTCATTGGTTTCACGACGACTCAAGGAAGTACATCAAAATCTCTCTCTCTCTCTCTCTCTCTCTCTCTCTCTCTCTCTCTCTCTCTCTCTCTCTCTCTCTCTCTCTCTCTCNCTCTCTCTCTCTCTCTCTCTCTCTCTCTCTCTCTCTCTCTCTCTCTCTCTCTCTCTCTCTCTCTCTCTCTCTCTCTCTCTCTTGCTCTCTACCTCTCAGTGAAGGAAAACACACACCCTGCCAACAACTACCAACGAGATGGTAAGCAGGGCAGTCCGCCATTGCCTTTCTAAACCTGCGCGGCTACTCCAAGATAATTAGTAACTGAGCTCTGTGTCACGGAGTGGCATCTCCAAGTTCCAAAAGGGCATGGATCATAAGTGTTGTTGAACCAGTCGGTAATATGCCTGTGTGGTTGAGGGTGGACTCACCAAGAGAAGCGACGAGGCAGTTTTCAACTCCTGTCTATGTGGTTGGGGATTTGGATTGCATGATAGTTTGAGAACTGCAGTAAAGTGGTAGAGTCGATGGTGATGGGCGAGGAATGTATATTGTGAATTGAATGTATGGACTCCGTATACCTAGGTTAGGCACTGTAGACTTTCAACTTATTGCACTATGGAGGGCAGAAGGTGAATGTTTATTTCTGGTCTTTTCTTTTGTTCTCCCTGTTCTCCCCTTCGTCAACCATGGCGTTGTGGCATGGGCCACAGTGAATTCACAAGAATGTTGCTCCCTGCTGTGCCAAGCCGGTTCCCCTTAATTGTGGGGACCATGGCGGTATTAGTAATCACTAGACATGCAGGTGAGTTGTAAGGAACTGTAATGCTCAAGCTTGTTGTGATAATCGCGAGCTCTCAAAATTTGTGTGAGCTCTCAAAATTTGTATGCGTCAGACAACGTTAGATTCAAAACATCATAGACTTGGGTTCCCGGTGGCCAAACGGGTTTGGCCCAAACATCTGAACGTTCTCCTGACCCCCTTGGAACTGGCGTTCAGCAGAGCACAAGGCCTTTCCCGAACACCTCCTTTTTAAAAAATGTTGAGGTTGAACCTCTTCTCGATTGGCTGATTTATTATTTGCGCCCCTCTGAATGCTTTTTAGGTGAGCCTGTGATACAGCAAGAAGGGGGAAGGAAAAAATAAGAAAGGGAAGAGAGAGAGGAAGGAGAAAAGGCGAGGGAAGCAGCACACAACACGAGACTTGTATGCACCGGACAACGTTAGATTCAAAACATCGTCGACTTGGGTTGCCGGTGTCTGGGGACGGCCGAACGATTTCAGCCCAAACATCTGAATGTTCCCCCTGTCGCGGTGCACTCATAAATAGAGGATGGGAGAGACAAGGTGGAGATAGACACCGAAGGAAAAGACCAGTGAACGATGTATTCAAGAGATTAATCGAAGCCATCCCGCCAGGCTAGCCAACGTCGACAGGTCCACAGCCACTCGTCTGTTGTGCGATCTCTACCGAGGTTTGATTGTGAATGAACAAGCAACTGTAAAATAGTCAACCGCCGCGATAATTGTAAGCTCTCAAAAGATTTGCACCCCAGACAAGACTACCGTCTTCACCCGAATATAGAACGCTCGGTCATTATAGCTGTATTTGGGGCAACTTCCAGTCCAGATACTGTGATAATTACTTCACCCGAATAGAACGCCCGGTCATTATAGCTGTATTTGGGGCAACTTCCAGTCCAGATACAGTGATAAGTACCGGGCGTTCTACTCGGGTGAAGACGGTAGATTCAAAACACCATCAAGTAAGCTGTCAGAATATTTGCACCCTAGAGGTAAGTGGAAAGAAAAAGTAATGTAGAGAAGAGGGAGAGAAAGGAGGAAATGAGAGGGTAGAACACATCAAAGCAATAGTAGTGGTGGCCTTGTAGATCTGTCAGACAGCATGCCTGCTGTCCATTCTTTTGCAAAGTCAAGTAGTGAAGGTCTATTGACCTGTCTGCTGTTTATTGCGTACAGATGTGAACAGAGTCAATACCTGTCATTTGGCCTTGGAATTCCTTAGAACTTTTCAAGTCCATGGTCAGTTGCTTGTGATTGATGGGACCTCTAATGGAATGCACAGACTTTGCCCAGATGTGTTTTGAATATTGTTCTCTTTGAGTACATGACATTGTGAATTGGATTGCGTGATGGAGTTTACATGATTTACTCTGATGATGTCTTCTGAAACTTATTGGATTTGAAGTACATGGCATTGTGATCAGATCGCATTGTGTTTGACCTGCGATTCATTATAGCGACATCGTCTCTTGACATTGCATTTGTGTTTGACCTGCGATTCGTTAGAGCGACATCGGCTCTTGACATTGCATCGGTGTTTGAGCTGTGATTCGTTATAGTGGCATATGCTCGTAGACAATGACGTCCCCTTGTGTGGTTAATGCAGGAGATGGCTACTATCAAGGTGGAAAAGCTCCCTGTGAAGATCATGATTTTGAACAATCAACATTTGGGAATGGTTGTGCAATGGGAGGACCGATTCTACAAGGTAAGCAGACTGGTTGCTCCTGGAAGATCCTGTTTCAGTCCTGCAGACTGCTGTCGTCTACCTGTGGCATAAGATGAGTTGACACTTGAAATGGATGCCCTATTTTGCAGAAATGTTTGTAATTCTCACCCTGCAGTCTTCCCCCAAACAAAACGCATGTATTTATTGTTCAAAATTTCCTGGAAGAGTATTTCTCGGCGTCGCCCACTGAAATCCAAATAGTACGCATGTCTGTTCTATTCGAACAGATGGGTGTTCTATTCAAATAGAACACTCTCTCTCTCTCTCTCTCTCTCTCTCTCTCTCTCTCTCTCTCTCTCTCTCTCTCTCT